GGAGGGAGGGAGGGGCACAAAAAATTGTACTTCAATGTCTTAATGATTGACAAATGATGACATATTTGTGTTTTTTTTTTAAGAAAAATAAAAAAGTTCTGTTTAAAAAAAAAAACTGATATTCTCTCCTTATTTCTCTTACTCTCCTCAGAACCTGTTTTAATACTACAATTTCATTCTCCTTGTATTTTAAAGGTTCATCTCTCGCTCTTTGTAAAATTTCTGGCTTCATTGCTGTTTTCATAAATCTCACATGGACCTCTCTAGAAAGTCTGTCTCGCTGCATATCTGGTGTTAACTCTAAATATCTCATCAATATTTTCCCAAAAAAATTTCTTTGTCCATCTCTAGGGCTCCTGTCAGTAACTCATTTTTTCTGCTAAATTTTCTCCTTTTTCTTCCTCTATATTCTGAAATAATAGATAAAAGTTGGCCCTGTCAACTTCCAGTAAAATTATTGTTCTTTCTTTATTTTTCTCTGCTAGTGTCAGTCGGTCATCAACTTCATTCACTTTTTCATCTGTACGTTCAACTTTTTTTTCTACTTTCTGTATACGTTGTTCATTATTTGCCATCATTTGTTGGACTTTCTCTCATTTGTCTTCTACTTTCTCTAATTTATCTTCCATTTTCCCTAATTTATCATCCACTTTCCCGATTTTTTCTTTGACTTCTTTAAAATCATCATGGAATGCTTGAATAATTTATTTCAGTTCTGACTGCATTGCGTTCACTTTCTCTTGTTGACCTAGGATGGCCAAGGTCTTCTGTCCCGAGAGACTCAAAAGTTGCCAGTGAGTTTGTTGCCGATGGTGCTGATGCTGTTTTCCTCATCTTGAATCTCTTTAAATCTTTTTAATATTTATAATCCACCATGGAATGAAAAAAAAGTCTCCAATTATAATCCAAAAAAGAAAGAGAATAAACAAAAAAAAAATCCAATGCCAAAAAATCAAAAGAAAAAACCACGAATCACTTATAATCCAAAAATCCAAAGTTTCCAAACTTTCAATCTCTTGACCCACCCCCACCCCCCTGCTTCTATTTTTTTCTTTGTTATTTTCTTAAGGTTCTTTCAACCCTAATCCTTTAATATCCAAGCAAAAAGGATAGTAATATAGCAATAAATTGTAATCCACTTTGGCGCATCATGGTGGATTTCTTATGGATGTTTCATGACCCAACTAGGGAACATCATCAGTGCTAGAAGGGAAGAGGAAGAGGAAGGACTGTGCAGGTCTTGGGGGTCTCTCTGAGCTTGGTGGGCTTCTTGTGGATGCCTCGTGACCCAACTAGGGAGCTTCATCAGTGCTAGAAGGGATGGAGGTATGTCGATTGGAGGAGGAGGATGAAGAGGAGGAGGAGAAGGAAAAGGACTGGGGGGTTTCTTGGGGGTGTGTCTGAGCTTGGTGGGTTTCTTACAGATGTCTCGTAACCCAATTTGGTAAAATATCAGTGCTAGAAGGGAGGGTGGTTTGCAGAGGTGGAGGGGGGAATACTGTGGGGTTCTCGTGGTCTCAAGAGTTTGGTGGTTTCTTTGTAAACGTTTCATGACCCAACTAGGTGCTAGAACAGTGCTAGAAGGGAGGGTGGTTTCCAGAAGCAAGAGGAGGAGGAGGAAGAGGAGGAGGAGGAGGAAGAGGAGGAGGAGGAGGAGATGACTGTGAGGTCCTTGTCCTCTCTGAGCTTGGTGGTTTCCTTGCAGATGCTTCATTACCAAATTAGGTAACATCATCAGGCTCTGCACCTCACCAAATCTCAGAAGAACACGAAATTCACTTTCTTTTTCTTTTCCTTCTCCAGAAGAGAGCTGGCAGCCAAAAATTATTAAGCAGGAAGAGGAGGAAGATGATGGGCTGGAGATGCATCTTAACCGGCTGGAGGCTGCCACCGCCACACAATGTGCCACCAACGGACTCCACCAAGTCGTGCGAAAACCAAGCAGTCCCGAGTCTGTTCTGCTGGGCTCCGGGGCTGGCAACAAGGAGATCCTATTGGTGGACTACCGAGTGAGTCCTTTTGTTCGGGGGTGCAGACCCGAACTGAGGGAGCTGTCCCACTGGTGCCTGGAATGCGGCAAAAGCTTCAGCTTTAAGTCTGAGCTGGAAATGCACCAGTCAAAGCACGCAGGGCAGAATTCCTACATCTGCGGCGAATGCGGGCAGAGCTTCATGGAGCACATGGTGCTGTCAGGGCAGGGTGCCTGTGCCGTGGGACATCCCTTCAGCCTTTCCGGGAGCCAGAGAAAGGGGCCATCCCTACCCAGCGAAGCTGGGGTGCAACGCAAGGAGCGTAAGGAACTGTCTCTGCAGGAGAAAGTCCGCGTTCTGGAGATGCTTGAAGGGCCCAAGGTCTCGCAGAGTGAACTGGCCAAGCGGTTTGGGGTGTCCCAGCCCCAAATTTGCCGTATCATCAAGAACAAAGAACGCATCCTGTCCGAATGGGGGAAAACCGCCAACCCGGGTCGTAAACGGAAGCTGGAGGACAAAGGTCCAGCTGGCAATGACCGAGTGTTCTTGCAGTGGTTCGAACGCAGCTGTGCACACCCGTTCCCTGCTGAGGGGAAACTTTGGCAAGAGAAAGTCACCTTCGCAGGCGGGGAACCAGGTTTGGAGACCCCCCTCCAGTGGCCGAACAGCTCCCTGGCCAAGCCAAAAACTGTCCCCCGGAGGCCCCTCCCGGAGAAATGGAGCCGGGAACTTCTGGAAGAAGAGGACGATGAAGACGAGAGTCGCTGGGAAAGTACCACACTGCCCTGTATCCTCAGCCACTACGACCTTCCCAATGTCTACGCTTGCGGAGAGACGGGGGTGCTCTTTAGAGCGACCCCCGAAGATCTGGCGGGCCGGAGAGGCAGCGAAGCCCACGACCAGCTGACCGTCTTGCTCTGCGCCAACATGGATGGCTCGGATAAAAAGGATGTGTTGATCGTGGGCAAGGCTGCACGGCCGTTTGGTGGGCTTCGGGGATTGTCTTCTGCAACCTACAAGACGAACAGTAGGGCCTGGATGACCCCCGCCATCTTTTCCGAGTGGCTTCAGAAGTTCAACGAGGAGATGAAACAGCAGGAGAGGCGGGTGGTGCTCTTTGTCACGCAGTGCAGCGTCCATCCCTATGCAGAGCTCTCCAACATCCAGATGGTCTTCATGCCTCCTCACCTCACCTGGCTGCCTCCTCTGGAGCAAGGGGTCGTCCAGAATTTTAAGTGCCACTACCGGAGAAGGATGCTGACCCATCTCTTGGTCAAGGACCATGGCAAAGTCTCCAGTCCAACCATCAAATTATCTAGGTTCCTCACCCTTCTAGATGCTGTCCACCTGGTGGTCCAAGCATGGTCGGAGGTGTGTCCTCAAACCATAGCAAACTCTTTCAAAGCGGCGGGCTTCAGTGTGAATCCCCGTCTGCTGACCCCTCCGTTGGAAGTGGTCCGAGCTCTGGGCTGCAAGGATCAAGACCAGTTTGAGCAGTTCATTTTGATGGATGAAGGGTTGGAGTGTTTTGGAGACCAGGAGAGTGTGGACCCAACAAAGGAGGTCCCTGAACCCCAAGAACCCATCTCGGCGAGAGCAGAAGAGGAGGAGGAGAAGGAGAAACTGGCCCTCTTCCCCTGTCCCTCCAAGACTGACGTTGTAGACAGCTTGGCGAAGCTGCGGCGCTACCTGGAGTGCCACTCGGTGTCGCCCAACACCTTCCAGACGTTCTACCAGCTGGAGGACCTGATCCATGTCCTGGCTCTGTCCGACATGCAGTTAGTCAGGGGCAAACCCTGCCAAGACTGACTCCCAAAGTAGACCTTGAACCCACGGAGCACTCTGGATCCTGAAACGGGTGTCCAGGAATCCCCCAAGGCGTGTGCTTTGGGGGGTTTCTGGACATCCTGTAGAGTCTCCACCACGTAGTTTTTGGCATGTAGTATGAAGTGAGATCCTGCCTTTTTCCTCCTGAGAGTTAGCACCCTGCAGAGAACAACTGCAGAGTAGCAGGTTTCTAGCAAGAAACGAGGGGGGGAGAACAATGATTTCTGGACTTAACTGCCCACCCACCTTCCTGAAGAGAATCTAGGGAGGTGGCGGTGGACAGCTGGGGCCTTCCTTTCGACCCATCCTGGCTTCTGTTTACCCACCAAGGGTGATTTTGTTCTGTGTATCCAATTGTGGTTTCTAGACCACGGCCCCTGGCCAATAGCGGTTAACAGCAGATTTGAGAATGTAGAAATGTGTGGATAGCTGAAAGGCCTGGGGATTCCCGGGGGAGGGGCACACCCACACGTACATATAATGCGAGTCACTCCCCTGCGACAAATGCGAAGGGCGGCCTCTGCACCCCTCGTACAAGGGGTTCAGGGCCTCTTCCTGACTTGTACGGGACACCATACATCGAAGAGGTGACATTGGTCCCTTGGCCTGTACAGGTGACGTACCCCTGTAGAGAAGGAGTAACATGATCAACGATGTTGGGGGGACTTAAGGCTTAACGGTTGGGGAAAGGGGATGTTAGGGGTCATGGGGCCTGAACAGAAGGTCTTCTTCTGACGTCCTGAAGGATGCGGTGACCAAGCTTAGGAGGACACCACAGCAAATCAGGCTGACGGAGGTTGCTTAGTGCCAGGAGGGCAGCAACCGTAGCTAACCCACTTCTCTGGGGAACTTCTGTGGGACTTCAACCTTGGGATAGTGTTTCATTTCAATCCCTGCTTGGCTATCAGCAGTGGAACAGACCACCCCATGAAAGAGCTCTCCTTGAAGAAGACTGCTGGATGAAGCCCAGAAGCTACAGAAGAGACCAGCTTTGGAGTTTCCCAGAATTTCCCCTGCGTTTGGAGAATAAGAGGGAGGGGTGCAGAAGGATGCTTAGAGCCCCTGGGCACCCAAAGGTACTCTGACTTTACGGATGGAAATGGTCTTCTAACCGGATGCCAATAAAGTGTTGAAAGGCTGATTTCTGTAGTGAGTGTCTATGTACGTTGGTGTGTTGCTTTGCATGCATAGACACAAGGGCAGCCCTATTCTGCATCACAGTAATAATTGCACAACTTCGTTGGCACACTCAAGTTTGCTTTGTTCTCTTTGCAGCCTCACAACCACAACACAAAGAATTTTTTATCTCTCATCTATATCTATCTATCATCTATCTATCAACTATCATGGCATTCTATCCATCCATTATCTCTACCTAACTAATCTACTATCGATGCATCCATCCACCCAATTCATCCCTCCTTCCATCTCCTGTTTCTTTAACTATATCTGTATCTATCTGTCTATCCATCGATCCATTATCTCTCTACCTAACTAATCTACTGTCAATCCATCCATCCACCCAATTCATCCCTCCTTCCTTTGTGTATTTGTCATATCTATTATCTATCTATCTATCATCTATCTATCTATCTATCTATCTATCTATCTATCTATCTATCTATCATCTATCATGTCTCTCTATCCATCTCTCTACCTAACTAATCTACTGTCAATCCATCCATCCAATTCATCCCTCCTCTGTCTGCCTTTCTGTCTTATTTCTCTCACTCTACCTCTATCCATCCATCCATCCATCCATCCATCCATCCATTATCTGAAATGTTGAAATGTTTATTCCATTTGTATGCCGCCCTATTCCTGAGAGACTCAGGGCGGCTTACAAGCAGGGGGGAAGGGGAATACAAACAAAAAACAAAAAACAAGCAAGTTAAAAAAAAGCAACAGTCGCAACAGTTTAAGTGGGGCCGGGAACTCATCAGCCCCAGGCCTGCCGGAACAACCAGGTCTTAGTGGCTTTGCGGAAAGCCGGAAGGGT